ATTTAGATTTACTTTAAATGGCAACTTGTTTTTAATTAAAGATCAAATAATTAGTAATAATGAACGAATACTTGTTTTTACAACAACAGAAAATATTAGATACTTATCTCGTGCACTATATTGGATTATGGATGGTACTTTTCAAACTGTTCCTACTATTTTTTATCAATTATATACAATCTATGCTCCAGTTGAATCTGCAGATAATTTCAAAATATTTCCTCTTGTGAACTCACTTATGACTAATAAGACCGCAGAGCAATATAAATTGTTATTTGAAATCTTAATTAATTTTGCAGAAGAAAATGGAATAGAATTAGCACCAACAAGAATTATTACAGATTTTGAATCTGCAGTTATTAATATGTCGCGTTATATGTTTCCTGGAGTAATTAACAAATCATGTTTTTTTCATTTGAGTCAAAATGGCTGGCGAAGAATACAAAAATATGGATTAGCAGGTATATATTTGTTTTATATGTATTGTCTCAATTCATTGATTGGTTAAGCTTGATAATTGAGTACAATATTATAAGCTCAATCAAAAGTAAGTTAATCAATGATCGATTATACTAATCGATTAAATGTTTAAAATTTAATCGATTAAGAAAATCTCAAAAAAAATTTTTATTATACAGGATATCTTTATAAAATACTGTATAATCGATCAATAGTTGACCCAGTAATTATATGCTCAAGCAAATAAATTACATATTTGATCGATTATACTTGATCAAACATATTGATTTTTGATCGATTCAAAAAATTTTTATTTTACCAATTGTTAATAATTTTTTTGTTAATTGCCTAGTTATATGTAATATCGATATATAGCTAATTACCTGCAATATTTCTAATTTATAGTTTAGTATCATAATTTACTAAAACTTTATTATTATTATATAATACAGGTCAATATGGATGTGATGAATGTTTTAGTATTAAAATACGCTGTTTATTTGCTTTGGCTTTTTTACCAGCTCAAGAAATTCCAGAAGCATTCGAATTTTTAAAGCCATTAATACCTTCAAAGGCAAAACAACTTGTTAAATGGTTTGAAGAAACATATGTACTTGGAAAAGTTCGTTCAGAAATTGAAAGTGATTATATAATTCGTTCTGCTCCTCTCTTTTCACCTCAATTATGGTCAGTACATGATTCTGTAGATACTGGAGTTCCAAGAACTCAAAATGTCGTTGAGGGTTGGCATTTTCGATGGGCAGCACTAGTTGGTGAAAAAATGTAGAAATTTATACATTCCTTCAAGAGATGCAAAAAGAACAGCAAAATATTGAAGCCCAAATTGAACGTATTATTCGTGGTGAACAAGTTAAGCAAAAAAAGAGATTAGCTAAGAAAGAAAAGAGAATTACGACTATTGTAAATAATCAGAATAATCTTTCATTAATAGAATTCCTTACCAGAATTGCCCATAATTTGTCGATTTAAATTTTTTTTTTGCATTCTCGTGAACAATATATACTTGAGTAGTGCATAATGCTATAAATACTATAAGATAAAGATATAGCAGAGATAAAAATAGAACATTTAAATAATATTTGAAAGCAACATATATGTATTATATTATATAAAATATATTGCAAAAAAGCTTCTTTGATTTGTAATTGACTTTTTTTTTTTAACTTTTTAATTAAAAGTTTATTGCTATAGCATGATATGTATGATATGAGAGGAATAAAATAACTATACACGAAAATTTGAATACGATTGAATTTATTTCCTCTTCAAGTTCAATGTCTCAAGTTGAATTTGAGTCTAAAATACTCAAAGAAATAACAAATCATCCTCCAAATCCTTCAAAGCAATTGAGGAAGGATCCCTTCTAGGACGAACTTACTGAAACTAGTGACAAATGAAATTGCAAGCATTGTTATACTTCCTATTAGAGTTATGCAAAATTAAATCAAATCAAATATTTAATAAATTTGATCAAATATTATATAAATTTGAATTTGATCAAATCAAATCAAATCAAATAAATATTTATTTAAATTTGATTTGATTTAATATTTATCAATCATCCGATTTTACTTAACTAGCAAATTTATTATTTTACTTGTTTCAATCCTATTTTTTGAGGGCCATTCGGATTAAATTCAGATTCTACTTTGTGTATCCAGATAATAATCCGAATCTGGATAAATCCAGGTTCAATTTATTAAATTCAGATTCTATATAGTTTATAATATTTGTTAGTACATTGTTAACTCAGTAAATTATTAAGTAAAATGCCTGATTTTTTTATTATTTTTACAATACTAGTATGTGACCCGTCACTTCGTTGATGGTTTATATTATGAAGTTAAGTGATATATTGATTTAGCACCAGAATCTAGTCAGAGATATTTTATTAAATACATTTATTTATTAATTTTATCATCAAATATCACTAATCAAAATCTCAAAATTTAGTTAGGCCACACAAAATTATAGACTTGTTTTCATATTATGGAGCAGTGATTAGTGACGTGAGCGCATGGCTTTTTTTTTATAGTAAAAAAAAATTTTTTTAAATCCTCTTAATGGCCGTTTATTATTTATAAAAATATACTTTTATTATGTCCTTCGGAATTGCATTATCCATCTCAAGCACATAAATTAATAGGCAGAAATTTGTTTTAACCAGAAGTAGGTTCATTATCGTGATGAAAAAAAAAGGTTGAAACCCTTTTTTTTGTCATAGACTTGTTCTAATTGACTAAAATTTTATTATCTACTGATATAACTAGAAAACTACTGTATTACATTCGTATTATAAATTTTCAGCAAAATTACTGTAAGGATCACTTCAATTAATCATAGTACTCTGCAGTTTTAATTGATCATCAGAAATATCACTTTTATCTTGTAACTAGTTACTATTATACTAGTGACAAATAGAAATATTCTAAAAATTCTTTTAATATTTTGTTTATTAAAAAATTTTAAAAACTGTTTTCTGCTTATGCAGAAAAAAATAAAAAAAAATATTTAGCCATTTTATTTTTTGCAAAAGCAAAAAATTTTTAAATTGTTAATTTTTATTAGGAATTTAATATTTTAGATTTGTTAAAAAATTTTAAAAATTGCTTTTTAAAAAATTCCTGCTTATACAGGAAATAAATAATTAAAATAAAAAGAAATATTTGATAAATACATTAGATTTTTAATAAAATATACCATTTTATTTTTAGCTATCTTATTTCCTGCAAGAGCAGAAAATTTTTAAAATTGCTAATTTTTATTAAAAATTTAATATTTTAAATTTGTTAAAAAATTTTAAAGACTTTTTTAAAAAATTCCTGCTTATGCAGGAAATAAAATAGTTAAAATAAAAAGAAATATTTGATAAATATATTAGCTTTTTAATAAAATATACTATTTTATTTTTAGCTATCTTATTTCCTGCAAGAACAGGAAATTTTTAAAATTGCCAATTTTTATTAAAAACTAATTCTCAAACTTAGTTCATATAAATATATTAATAATTATGCTTGCTATAATAATAACTTATCTATCTTTAATTATCTTAGCATTAGCAGAAAATTTTTAAAAATTAAATTTTAATATCACCAACAATCATTTCACTGATAGCTCATTTAGCTGACATCTTGCTAAATGAAATTTAGTAAAAATATATACTTGCAACTAATCAAATGTTTAACTCTAACCCTATGTGATATTAGCTAAATTGAACTTTGGTGAAATGCCTATCAGCAAAGTGTGCGGAACTGGTATTAATTTATAACTACTTTCAATCCAAATCAACATTGATTTTTTTGTTTTTAAGAGTAAAATTTAGGACTTCAGAACTATAGTTGTTAGACGAAACCTTGAGGTTTCATGCTGACGAAAGTCGAAACCTAGTTTTGACTTTCGTCAATTAAAATCTCAAATGACGAAACGTCGAAACTGTCAAAAGGTGTCAAACTAACAAAAGGTGTCGAAACTGGTGAAAGATGTCGAAAGTGGTATAAGGTGACAAAAGGTAAAGAAACTGATAAAACTACAAAGATGACAAGACTAATAGAATAAGATGAAGCAGATAAATATTATTTAAGACTAGCAAAGTAACCCTCGTTCTGCTTCGGGTATTAAAAATTTATTATAATTTAATTATTTTGTACAGATACATTTTAATATAGGATTTTGTTAAACATCACAACTTGCGATATCGCAAGTCGATCACATGATTAACAATCTGTATATCAACCAATAAATTTAACTGGTTTATATAACATTTGAAAAATTTTTGGACCCGGGTTCTAAGCAATATAAAAAAAATATGCACAAAAAAAAAATTTATACACGCGTTATATATATACAGTGAGCAGGACCCCGAATAATATATATAGAGGTTACATTAGGTTTAATATAAGATTTTTATAAATTTTATCCAAAATCTGCAATTCTGATTGGTTGAACCTTATTTTAGCCAATCAGAATTGCAGAAAAGTGGATAATGCATTAATGTAACCTCGACCTGCATTGTTCGGGGTCCTTAGTGAGCATTGATATATGCGCATTCGATGTTTATATATATCATGCAGATCTTTAAATTTTAATTGGTTAAATTACGTGTTCTGTGTACCGTAGACCACTGTATACAGTATCCCCCTAAAATAATACCCCCATGATTAAGACCCGGGTATTATTCACCATCTCTACTATCCTATTTCTTGAATAAGACCCGGGGTATAACTATATTGATTTACTACTTTTACTATGATATATTCCCACATATAGTACCCAGTTCTTCACACAGTACCCATGGGTACTATTCAATTTTAAAAACGGAGTTCTTGAATAAGACCCCGGATATTGCATACAGTGGTCTACGGTATTTATTATTATTCGGTCAGACTGAACTGGAAAAAAGCAAGTATTACACATGTTTGTATTTTAATATATTAGATAATGTGAATAAAAATAAATTATGGAAACATAAGGTAGACAGGGGTAATTTGGCGAAGTTAACATTGCTATTGGGTAAACTTTTTTTTAACCCATGCAAATTTTCAAATATTTAAGTCACAAAACGATATCATATTCAAGAATAGGCCTGTAAAAAAAAAAAGATCATGTGATAGGTCGAATTAGTATAAAAATCATCACTTTGCGTACGGCATTAAAAAGGTAAAAATTTGATCGACAAGTGTAATTTGGCGAATTTTTGAAAATTTTTTTTTTTAATATTTTCATATTTTAGCAGCCTTTTACTTCTTTTGAATTTTTTGGGCTCTCTTTTCCTTTTTTTGGGCCGAAAGTAGTTCCCATTCGGCTTTTTTTTGGGCCGCTATTTCTTTTTTCCGTTTTTTTTCTTCTGCTAATCGTTCTGCTTCTCTGTTTGACTCTTGTAGTTGTTGCCAACTTTCCTCATTAGTCAGGAGCTTTGCAAATGGAAATGTCTTTCTTTTCTTTCGAGGAGAAGGTAATTCAGACTCTGTCTGATTCTCAGTAACTACCTGTGGATTTTTGGCAGGTGGAAGGCGTGAAACCGGATACTTAAAGGCCAAACGCAGATCGCATGTTCCAGGATTTTTGTAAGTATCCAGTTCTTCCTTCATTGCTAAAATTTGAGATTTTAGCAAATCATTTTCATTCTTAAGTACTATATTTTCATTCTTAAGTGCTTTATTTTCTTCCATTAATTTGTCAATATTTAGGCGAGTAGAACGAAGATGATTTGAATTAGTAGGTGTGTGGGATACTGAAGGTAGTTTAGTTTGTGGGACAGAAGGTTGGATACACGAAGGTGTAATATTAAATTGTTCAGTTGTTAATGATGGGTCTAAACGATCAGGAGTGATGGCATCTGGGTTTAAAGGCCATATTCCTGTTTTCTTGTAAGCATTGCAAATAGCCTGTGGCGTGTAAGTTTCAATAAAGGCTGAACCAAAAACTTTCGCGAACATGTACTGTAATACTTTTCAGATGCTTTGCTATATAATTTTTTTAGGTTAGCGAAAGGAATTTCTGACGGTTGTAAAACATGTGTTGTGTGTGGTGGAAGCGCGTAAAGAAGGATGCCGTGATTGCGACAAAAGTCAACTGATGTATAACTAACATGACTTTTGTGACCATCTAGCATTAGTAAAACAGGCCGGGCAGGTGGAATTGAACTAATAAAATGGTCAAGGTACATTTGAAAGAGTTCTTCCCGCATGTACCCTGTGTCCGTAAAACCCATTACGGTTCCCGGAGGTGCACCTTCTAACAAACCAGAAATCGTACGGACACCTTTATAAATAATTAAAGGTGGAATGCAAGTTCCAGCTGCCGAAATAGTTGGTGCAACTGAAATATGGTCATGGGAATTTCCATGTGCGATTTTATGGACTTGATGTGCACCTTTTCGGGCGAGAACTTTTTCTAACTTAGGCACGACAGTAAAACCAGTTTCATCCATATTCCATATTTGTGTCGCGGTAAGGGAATTTTCATTGATAATTTTTTGAAGTTTTTGAAAATGATCTTTAACGATTACTTTATTGGCTTTTTGCGCACGCGCTTCCGATAATTCCTGAGGGACACGAAACGATAATTCTGGGTGATCCCTCATGAATCGTGTCCACCAATCTTGACCTGGCCCATTTTCTCCAAAAGGATGAGATCGCTGATTTAATCGCATAATTTCAATTATGCAATGATTAACCCCCGACCTTGTTAAACCAAACCCAAGCTTTTGCATGTTAATGCAATAGCCTACAAGTTGGTTTTCTTCATGGGCTGTCAGAACATTGGGTGCACCTGGTCGATTAGGGGGACTGCCATTTTTAACGGCACGTCGAAGAGTAGTTTCCGCAAGACCAAAATCTTTCGCCAAACTATTTATGCTTGGAGGCTTTGAACCAGCAGGGCAATTTTCTAATTTTTTGAGTGCGGCACGAATAGCCTCACCTCGTTTAATATAAAGCGCTTCTGGCATATTTATTTTGGCTTTAATAAAAGGGTATAATAAAATTTCTAAAGGTGCAAAAAATAACGTGACAAATAATGTGACAAATAACGTGACAAACTTTACAAAAAATAACGTGACGAAGTTTAAATTAACAGTAAATTGATTTTTATACAGATTCGTTGATCAGTAAAATAGTTGTTTTGTTGCACAAAAGTGTTCGCGAACGTTTATATCTACTATGATGCGATCCACGATAAGAAAGACGTTATATACAAATAGAATTATTTGACGAATTTGCGGGTATCTTGTGATCCCGTGATCATAATTGGATGATTTTACCACCATTCGAATCTCCTCATTGAGAGGATTCGAATGGTGGTAAAATTGTCCAAGTCTGATCACGGGCTCACGAGATATCCGCAATTCGCCAAATTACCCTTATTCGCCAAATTACCCCTGTCTACCTTATGTTTTTTTTTGGTACTCAACTTGATAATGCGATTATTTTTTGGCTATTAGTTTTAAGCCTATTAATATTATATACTGCTATTTTTAAATTTAATAGCTTTTTTGTATAATTATTTGTTGTAGAGACTTTACTTATATAGATCTCTTATTTATTATATTAGTTTGGTATTGTTTTTCTATTTTCAAAGTATCTCTCAACTCTTTTATCTATAATTTAACTGGTGCAATTTTAGAATTGTCTTAAAAGCAGTTGCTTTATTGTTCTAAATTTTTCTTGCATCTCTGCCAGAATTTTTTCTATATTTTTTTTTTTCTGCTTCTGTTTGTTTTTCTTTTTTTTTTGCTTAAAACTTCTCTATTAAAACTGGTTTCAACTTCTGATACTTGATAGTTATATCTTTTTGTGATTATATTTTCTATTCTATTTAAAGGCTTTTTGGTATAACTATATAATCTAGAGTTACTAGATGCCTACTATCAGAAAAGCTATTACTAGGACTACTATTTGAATTTTTTGTTTTGTACTTTTAACTGCAATACTTCTTTGAGTGCTTTAAATGAGAACTATGTTTGTTTTTGTCTTTTGATTTAAATTTATATCCTTTTTTAGTAGACAGATTGGCTAAATTATTTTGTTTATTTTTGCTCTATTTTAATTTATTGATAAATATTTTAGGGTTGATACTTTTGCTTTTAACAAATTCTCTAAAGACTCAAAATATACAAAAGCAATGCTTTTCTGTTTGCTATAGCTACTTTTAGAAATATATATTATTTGGCTTTAAGATTTCTAAGCTAATATAGAAAAAGTACCCTGATGCTCTATATAAGACTTTCTTAAGTTTTAATCTAAACTCTTTTCTTGTATTAAGTTCTTCTATATCAAATCTATTTGCTGTAAGCCTGCTAGTCTTTCCATCTTCAAAGTGTACTATCTAGATATTTTGAAGTTTTTGTTTTTGTTCTTCATTCTTGCATTTGATTCTAATACATACTGCTTTAGATTTTTCTAATTGTTGCTATATAATAACTTCTGTTTTGCTATAATATTTTAAGCATTTATAACTCTTGCCAAATTTATTAAAATAGAAAGGTTCTAGATAATGAGATAAAGATTTAGCTTCTTTTTCTTTTTATATACTCCTTTTACAAAGTTTGTGTTAGAGCTAATTTGATTTATAATATTTTTTGATACCCAAATAGAGCTATAGATATTTCTTTTTCCTTCTATGCCTTTTGTCTTTTCTTTTTTATTAAATAATTCTTTTTCTTGACTAATAAAACCCAGTTCTTGACTACTTGTATACTATAATCTGGTTATCTATATTTAGTATATATAAGTAATGCTTTTTCTTCCATATTTGTTGTTTTGTTCTCTTTTAGAATATTAATCTCACTTTTGTTTAGAGTTATCTCTGCTAATCTGATTTTAATAGTTTCTTTTTTTTTTCTAGCTTTAAAATTTTTAATAGTATTTTCTTCTTTTTTCTTTTTAAGATTTTCTGTAGTATTGATTGTCATCTTTATACTACTTGTCTGGCCACTTTGAAGTTCTGCTATTAATTCTTTTTGTTTGTTTAGTTTTGCTTTTGTTGTAATCTTAGTTATATTCTCTAGTAGAATATGCTCTTCTATTATGAGCTCTTTATCTTGATTCTTTCAGATTTCTGCTTACTTGTAGCCATCTATTGCACTAAATATTGCTATTATAAACTGTGAGTTTTTATATTTTAAATATTTTGTTATATTCTTGTCTATTTTAAATATAAAAAAACTATATTCTTTATAAATTTCTTGTTGCTTGATTTGCATAGCTAATACTAATCTCTTAAGTATCATTAGCTTCATATTTTTAGCTGCTTTATTTATATTATAGATGTTAAATTAATTTTGTATTGGCTTTTTAGAATATATATTGTATGATTGTTTGTTTTATGAATACTTGTTTGTTTTTCTATCTAAATTAGAATATATGTTTGCTATTTTGTTGCTGTTTTGTTTACTTTAGCTACTAGATATATACTTGTTTATTTACTTGTTTATTTAAGTGTTTGTAAACAAATTTACCTTACAAGGTCTAGTGTATTTCATAGAATTTTTTAAAAATAGGTTGAGAAAATTTTGCAAAACTAGTTTTTAGTTTTTTTATTTGTTTCTCTTTTTTGAGAAATTTGTCTTTTTAAAAGACTATTGTTTATTTTAAATGCTCTTTAGTTTTACTTAGTAGTATTTTTGCTATAAACTATACTAAATTTTGCTCTACTTGTAAATTTTATTTATTGCTTATTTTGGTATAAAGAATTAGTGAAAAGAGTTAAAAATAATTATGTATATTAGGATTTTAATATACAATTTAAATAAAATATATACTTATTTTTTAAAAATCTAATATAGTTAGTATAACAAAACAGAAGTTTTTTAAAAATAAAACTATAAATCTTGGTAAAATATATATATATTTTTTTCAGTATTAAGGTGATCTCTTTAGTTATGAGAACTCTTTATTAGTAATTATTTGCTATTGTAGTTACAATAAAGATATAATTAGCTATATATGCACCTTTTGAGTACTTATTTAAATAGTTTATCTATAGTTTCTATACTAGATATTGTATCTATAACTCAACTAGAAAGTTATCTATTTAAACCTTTTGACTCCAACTATTTTTAAATATATTATACTAACCCAGGAACTACCAATGGCCTGTTTTACTAAATTGTACACCTTTGCTTTAAGACTTTTGTAGCTTATTTTAGATTTGCATTGACTAATTACCAGCTTGCATTTCTCTATTAAGTAAACATATAGCTATCTATGAAATAAATCTACTAGAGCTTTCTCTATTCTATTTGGGCCAACCTAGTTTTGTATAGTTGCCAAGGCTCCTACTTATAGTTAGAATTATTTCTATTTAATTGTTTTTGCTCTTATAAAGTTTATTTCTAATCCTAGTACTTATATTCAGACTTTTTTTTTTTATTATTTCTTTATTAGTCTATCTTTTACTTTTAATTACTCTAGTAGATTTTAACCATAGATAAATAGTTTGTATATCTAAAGTTCTAATCTCAATACTAATATATAATATATATGTATTTACAGCACCACTATATGTTAATTCACTTAAGTATTAATAAAAGTTTGGGGCAGTTGCTATACCCAGGGTATTTCTCTAAATATTAAAAAAAAAATAAAATTAAATTAACTAATTTATCAACTAATTATATTAGATCAACTAATTATATTGAATTAACTAATTATATCAGATTAGCTAATTATAGAGGTCCAATCTGAATAAATCTATTATCCATTTATTCATATCTGAATTTATCCAGATATTCATTTACTAATAATATTTAGATAATCTAACAAATATTTGAATAATTATCTAAATATCAATAGTAAAACAGATATCTGAAAAAATTCAAATCTGGATATCCAATAGATTAATCAATAAACAGATAATAGATAGAAACTTTAGCTAATTATATTAAGTTAACTAAATAACTAGATTAGCTAGTTAAATATTTGTTTAACTAGTTTATCTAATTTTTTTTTGTTTGGTTTAGTTACTTAAATATAGTTTATCTAGTTCATATTATTATTTTTAAAAACAATTACTAATAAAAATTCTTTTTTCAAAATTATCTTTTTAATATTTATTTTTATTTTTTTTTAAAATATTAAAGGTAAGACTATGCTTTTATTATTATTAAACTTAATGAAAACTTTTTATATGATTGAAAAAGGTTTTATATTTTAAGTCTAGTACTAAGAATAAGAACTCAGACTAACTAAGTGCTTAATAAAAGCAAACCTAGTGTTTTATCTGCAGCCTAAACCTACTAGAGTGGCTAAGGCTCACCTAGTTTTCAAATAGATTAAGTATTGTGAAGGATGTATATGAAGTTTAATCTAGTCAGAGTACTATGATAATATTTTGAGTGTGGATATTTGTGTAGTATTGTTCGAAGTAGCTATATAGAGATGTGTATTGTGCAAAGATTCAGGTAATAAGATTGCTGGTGAAGATAAGAGTTGAGGTGTAGGTCTTGAGCTACAATAGAGGATCCAAATGTTTGTATAAAGTTGCTTATTAATATAAAGGAGAAGTTGTATTGTAATTGAATTAGCTATTTGGTTTGATATAATAAATTTATGTATAGTTTGTATAATATCAAAGAGGATAAATCCAAAAAGTGTAGAGAAAATAGAAGGTTTGTTTGAGAAGAAGTGTATTTAGAAGTTGTCAAAGTTAGGAATTAAATTGTATAGCTGTTTAGTTTGTGTGGTAGAGATTTGGAGTTTATTAGAAGTTAAACAATATTGTAGTAAGTTAGCAATAAGTTCATATATATAGAAGAGTTGGAGTAAAGCAAATAGCCCAGTGTAATAAAGTACTAGTTTGCTAGTATATGTAACAAGTATTTGGGTATTGAAAGTTTCTTTTGTGCTTTAATATTTATTTCTATATTTATTTCTAACTTATTACTTAATATAGAGGTGAGTCAGTAGAAAAGAGACAAATTTTTTCTAATTAAAAGTTTTTTTAACTTTA